TATCTTTCTGTGCTATTAGTTTACATACTTACACCCACCTAGTTTATTTTTCTTCCTAAGCAGGAATAAGCTATACCAGAACAAGGAATTATATTCAGTGATAGAACTACTCTAAAAGCCTCCATTAACTTCTACAAGGAAAGCAACACCATCCTTTAGCATAAGCATGTTCTGAGTAAGATACAATGCACAAAAAGATGTAGGAATAAGAAGCTTACCTCAAGAAATAAAAATTTTGGCCCCTACTTTTTGTGTTTGTATTCATGCCACATTTGAAACCACCCCTCTGCATAAGTGGTTGCACGTTTGACACACATTCTGCAGCTGCTTTCTTGAGAATCAGAGAGACTTAAACTCTTACTTCTCCCATAGACATAAAGAAAAAAGCCAAACAGTGAGGTAATCAAAGTGAAGGAAGGTTACATAGCAATTCTGTAAATCCTTTTTATATCTGCCACCTTGCTTACATACCTTACAGATACTTATAGTTGAACTATGTCTAAGTTACAGTGCAAGTAACTTCGGGTAAACAGCATACCTGTCATGAAGCCCCTGGAACACCTTCAGCACCCTATACTAGCAATTGTAATGTAATTTGTGTAATACCCATCTCTTTCCTTCATTTTAAATTGTTCATTACATTTCAGATTTGTTTTGCACTTTCTACTCAGATAAAGTCCTAATAGTATACCTCATCAAGGACTGGGAGTAAGCTGTGCAATTTATGATCAATTCTGGCTGGTTCAAAGAACGGCTTAGTAGACTCAAGCAAACGTAAGTATTAAAAGAAGATTCACTGACAAAGTATTTCATTACTGTCATTACAACTACAGAGCGATGACTCATGCCATTGAAGAGGTAGAATGTGTACAGGGGTAGATAAGAAATGTCAAGAAACACAGTTAAACAAGGCTATGTATGGGATCACATCCGTATCCTATTTGAAGACAGACACTACTTCTTTTGTATTGTTTCTAAAGATTTGGGATGAGCCTGCCTTACTTAAGCCACATGTCCCAGAATCTGCTTTCCCTCAAAACATTTGTGCAGATGGGAGGATTAAAGAGCAGCTTTCTGCACTGGGATATTCTAATACTAGAAGTCATACATTATGATCTTGCTGCCAACAGCAAAGAGATGCTAGCAGCACCACTCATTACGGCTGCACTGTATCAAGAATGCCTTTGCCTTAAAACAAACTATTATTCAAGGAACTTGATGTTACTATCTTAACTGTTTTTCCATCTTCCCTTCAGTTAGTAAGAAGTCCCTAAGATGGAGGGAAACACCACTCTTGGTAATTATCCATACTGCTGTGCAATGCACTTTACCCAACTTTAGGTAAAGCCTTTTCCAGCTGTGCAAACAAGACCTCCCTTTTAAACTCTAACATGTTTTAAAAAGCCTTTTAAGAGAGATATAGTAGGAACACACTTCTATTCTCAGATTTCTGCAGGTTCAGTTTGGACTCAGGCAATCCTGTAGCTCAGATTCACTGGCAAAGGCAAACCTCTTTCAACCATGTAGGTTGAGTCAGAAGAGACCAAGAAACTTTTTTTTTTTTAATATGCTTGTATGCTCCCAAGCATCTGATCAAGATGTGAGATTTTGTCTAATGTTGCTACACACACTAAACAAACACCAAAAGACACCATTCTTTAATAATGCTTCAATATAATTTCTTCAAAAGGTAGTGAGCACCCTTCTAGTCATCAATAGGTGTCAAGTAATTACTTTTAGTTCAAAGTGAAGTCCTAAGTATTTTAAGAGTTATCAGCTCCCTTTATTCCTCCCTCCCTCACTTAAAGATACACCGGAAGTGCAAGACAAATCCAGTCTCAAATTCACATCATTAGTCTATCCCAACATTCCTCAGATAAGTTTGGTCTTTAGGTAATTCCACAGGTTTTGGAAAAAATGTTTCTCTACATTAGCTGTCGTCACTCCATTATAAAGTTAGCAACCACTGCTACAGAACATCCCTAAAAATATTCCAAAGTCCTATTAAGTTGGTAGTGAATAAGGCAGGCATACCTTAATACAGTAACAGCTCAACAAGTTAATGCATAACAGCAGCAGGTAGCAGAATACAAATCAGTGAAGAAGGTGAAAACAGTAGCCCACAAGACTTACACTTAATCTAGTTTTACACTGATGACATACAAAAACATTTCCCCAAGTACAAGCAACCTGGAGGTTTTTTGCCAGAGTGTCAGTAAGCTCATTCCACAGGTTGAGTACTAGTTCAGCCAAGGCCACATGAAAATTGACTATCATCTGGAAAGTCTCACCATACAGACATAAGTGTTTGGTACAACTTGCCTCAAATAAGTTCTGTGAGCTAAACTATGTTTGTGATTAGAATTCAGAGATCAGATACGTTGGCATATCAGTAAGGCTACATGGTAGAAGTAGTTTACTGTAGAAATTTATATGAGAATAAAAACACTAAGATGAGGGAAAATACCTATAAAGTATGAAACTCAAGAGATCAGAAACATGCAGAGATGAAAAAGCACAAAAGCCTACAAGGAAAGCAAGAACATCTGCTGGGAATCTTACAGGGCACGGAAAGCAGAGAGTTTAAGCTCAGTATATTGGCATAAGAGATGAAGGGACTTGACACAGCAGAGAAAAATAGTTTTCACCCCTGTGGTATTCATATCTTTAAGAACGTAGAAATATTTTTTATATCAATAGACCAATGTGAAAATACAAGCCAACTGAGGGAGCACATGGGAAGGGACAGGGAAACAAGCAATAAAATGGAATAGTCAGTCCATGGCGGAGCCAGTGACATAGACTAACAGGAGTTCTCATTCTGCAGCCAGATGCTGCATCTAACCCACTAAAGGAGCCCATGATTACCTAAATCTACATCACACATACCAGATACATTACTTACCTTTGGGTCCATCCTCCAAAGACTGACAATAAACCAGATAAAAGACTAACACCAATTGTGGCACCTGCCTTCAGTCTCGCTCTTGCACATCCCAGTGACACATTATGTAACTTGGCACCAATAAAGAAACACAGAAAGCAATCAACCACCCAAGCAGGAACCAGTTGTGTAAGTCCAAATCTATTCATGGACTGAAAAACAACTAGCTTCACATCTAAATCCCTTACAAACTCCTGCACCTGCATATCTGAAGCAAAGAAAACATATCAGTCAGGGAATGATCCCCATTGGTAAAGTTCAAGAATTAAAGATAACATGAGACCTGCAAACCTGCTACCTTTTTTTCTTTAGTTATTCTGAATTAGTTCCAGGATTTGTAAAGATATTTCTGTTTACTTCTCCCATGAGAAATGCAAGTTAATCCATTAAAAAGAAAAGAAACAAACAAAAGCATTACAGAATGACTGACCCATACTACTTAAAACTCTGGGAATACAGAGCACTTGTCATGGTTGCAGTTTGTTCCAGAACACGACCAGCACTGGAAGAAAAAGTAACTATTGCTTCCTTAATCCTTTATCTTCAGTGAGCATACAAATCTTCTAGCCAGTCAGCCAGCAGAACAAGCTCTAAGCAATGTCTAATTTTAAAAGACTAATCAGCTAAATCAGTAAAAAAAAAAAAAGAGAGAGAGAAACAGTACAAGGAAACAGAAACCTACAAAGCTTTTGCTGTTCATCATTATAGCTACGCAACCAAGTACAGAGTTCCCAACTGATGGGACTGGGCATCTGAATTTTCTTTGGTCATCTCATAAAGCTTCTTAATACTTCTGTCAGACCCCTAGCCACCAGGAGAAGACATCTTCAGTCTCACAGCTCATGACTGGAATTTCTTGATTACTACAAAATACTGGTCAGCAGAGGCGGGAGACACACTTAAAGTTCCCCTCTTCCCTCCTGCAGCTGGTAAGTTTCCACAGTGGCAGTAACCCAGCATTTGTCAGCCTAGCTGAATTCACTACAATTAAGTTTTTTAAGAGTTAACATGGAATAAACCAAACTTCTGTCAAATTCAAACTATACTTTATGCCCACACCTGACTGTGAAGGTGCACATATTATCCTCATCTCCTCTCCCCACCCCCACAGGAATAGGCACAAAGATGAAGCAAAGCTGGAAGTAAAGACAAGAAACCTTGTTGCTGAGCACATCACTTGGTCACACAGTCTCTGAATGATACTATAGGACTCCACTGTTCCTTTGGACTCCATTTTTATCACGAAACTTAAGAGAGTTCCAGTTTTGTATCTCAAAGAATACAAACCTGACTACCCAAAATGTAGAGCCTCGTGCAAATACTTAATGCAGAGACACTGCCCCTACACTCTAAGAGTTAAGTCAAGGCAAATCGAAGTACCATAAGCTGTCATAGCCTATCAGCTGATTAGATGAAAGCTTCTACACACAGAGGTTATCAGCGACTACCTGTAGCTTTTCAAACATTTCCACTACAAACAATCCACACGCAACCTAGAAATCACTAGCCTAAGCCATTAACTCTAGGTTGTGTAGGATTCCCAGCAGAGTCTCTGACAGAAGTCGCTGTCTTCCAGTCTATCTCATGGAAATCTCAGTTTAATTTCACTTCAACCAGCCCTTCACCTGACAAACTGCATACTCCCAATCTGCTCACCGAGTGACACAAGGCATAACTCCTCAGGCAACATGGCACAGATAGCACAAGCCACTTGCCCCAAATTCACTCTGCAGAAGTTCACTCTGCCTTTGGACAGAGGTCACCTTTGCCCCAGGAGCACAGCAAACTGCTGCAGGCTAAATCCAGAGCAGAAGACCAGTTACTGCCACCAGCAGCCCTCAGCAGAAGACCTCCAACACCAACCTTCACACCAGGCAGCACTCACCCCAGGCACATCCGCCCAACCACTTGAGAGGGCAACTGCCCACAGCACCCCACACTGTGCGTGTGGGGGCATCGCCCTCCCGGCACTGCCTCCCCCACGGGTGCTCCCAGGCGAGTCAGGGCGCCGCACCCCACCCTTGAGAAAAGGGCGGGAAGGGAGGCGACCTCTCACCTGGAGGAGCACGGCCAGCAGGACGCACAGATACACCTGGTAGGGCCCCATTTGCCCCACCAGCGGGAAC